CACCCTCTTCTCTCACCCCATTACACTACCTCACCCTTCCCACCTTAATATATCATCCCCTATCCTCCTCTCCCCCCTCCCCACCCTACAACCTCAATCCTCATCCTCCTCTCCCCTCTCCCCACCCTCCTGCCACTAAACCCTTGTTTTTACACTTTACTCAACCCTTCACCCTCCCCTCCCCTCTATCCTCTTCTCCACCCCCCCCACCCCCCTCTCCTTCTTTCCCCCACCCTCCTCTTTCCCCTTCCCATCCTCATCTTCCCTTCCTTCCTCACCTTACTGCCTCATAGCTCCATCATTCTCTTCTCCCTCTTCTCCCCCATCATTTGAGCTCACATCCTTCCGCCATTTCCTCCTCTCAAACGTATCAGGTCCTCCCTTTCTGCCTACCCTCTCTTCCATTCTGCCTTCCTCCTTCACTTTGTACTTCTAATTGATCCTCCTTCTAACCCTGTCCCCTTCCCTCTCTTCCACGAGGTGTTTCTATCTTCTCTGCCTCTTTCTCTCGCCGCCTTTTCTTTTTTCCTCACTTTTTATCTTCACATATTCCCTCTTTCACATTTTCTCCTTGTTTCTCCTACTACTTCTTCCATTTATTTCCATAGTTATCCTCTTCGATATTTTCTTTGTTCTCTTCCTCCCCTTTCTCCTCCTCCTCCTCCTACTCATCCTCCTATTACTCATCTTCTTGTTCATCTTCTATATCTGTTTCATCCTCTATTTTTTTTTGTATCTTCCTACTCATCCTTCCACTCGTCTTTTTTCTTCTTACTCTTTCTTTTGTTCCTCTTCCATATCCTCTTACTTCTCCTCTTCCTCCTCTACCTTATCATTTTCTTCCTCCTTTTCCACCGTTTCACCCCCCTCCATTCCTTGATCACCAAAATCGCTTCCTAATTTTCCCTCATTTCTTGATCACCAAAATCGCTTCCTAATTTTCCCTCATTTCTTTTATATGTGACTTTTCTGACCTGACTTGACGTGCTTTATTATTGTATTAGACCACGTTCTATCAAAACATATTCTTGCCAACACTGGAAAGACTCAAGGTGAGTAAAAGGCTGTCACTGGTCAAGCTCCGGATTTCCAGGGTTTTATACTATTCGTTAATTGCTTATGCTAAATGGGGCTGTAAAAATAAGTTTACCTGGTTCACTTAGGCTAAGGCGTATAAGATACTTAACTGCCCTTCTATCAAATGTTAACCACAACTAACAATACAATATTGTACATAATTAGCTCACTAAAGCAATGATAAAAAGAAGAATTCTCACAGATTCGTATCGTATGTCTTCCTTCTAACTGGGAATGGGATACAGCGATTAGTTGGTTCATTTACAAAGTTCTAAAGCGAGATGCTGGAATAATTCAGCAGAATATAGTCAATTTATTGCACCTGCTTGTTTCACTATATAATATTTCTTCAGATTCAGCAATTCATTTCATTGGAAACATTCAGTTCTCATCTAGAATATATTTGTAACCGCTAGGATCTAAAAATTGAGTAATTACATTTGTTGACGACAAAAATAATTAGCTCAGGAAATATAGGGCTCTCAAAAGTACGAGACAGAAATGGTTAAATCAGTCACCTGATGGTCCTTGTGTCTCAAGACCCAGCTCTAAGAGTTTAGTGTATCCCGAACGATGCATTCAAAAGGATTTACTTTATTTCATATCAAAAGGTGTACATAATTAAACAAAATGATGAATTTCAAAAGTTAATGGAAAAAGATTAAGCCAAAATATCAACACTGTGAAGTGTTTGAAATTAGTATTTACAGCCGAAGTCGATGCCAACGCATGCTGTCGGATAAAGCAAATGAACATAGATTGTATGACATCAACGTACTAATACATATTCATTTACAGCACAAAGTATTAGGACCAGCTCAGACCATGCTATATTCCCTAAAACTAACTGTGTTAAGGAGCGCAAATGAACGGCTGGTCAACGTGGCTGAGCTCGACTGGTGACCAAAAGGAGGTTTACTGTCCGAAGCTGGCGCTCTTGAGGCAACAACCAGTCAGGTGCGTTGGGGACAGGGTTCACTCTCACCAACTTAGGTTGAACAGACTATCCTCATAAAGATTACTCAGGGGATGATTTACGAGATAGTCACGTTCACCACACAGAAGAGTTTATGAGTCAGTCACATCTACAACTTACAGGACATTTACGAGTCAGTCACATGGACCATTCTAAATACAATTTAAGAATCAATCAACTGGACAACTTAGAAGGCAGTTACTTGGACCTTTCAAAAGGACAGTCTGTGAATCAATCTGTTGGGCCACTCAGAAAACAGTTTGTGTTTCAGTCATGTGAACCAATCAAAAGAGAGTTTGTGAGTTAGTTAAGTGGATCACTCTGAGGACACCATTTGAACTATTTATGCGGACCATCTAAAGGTAGTTACAGGTCAGTAACGATGACCACTCAGGGTATTCTATGAGGACAATTTACTTACCGGGACTTCATACAATTTAATGAACGAAGCTACGGGCACAGTATTAGGTGAACCCCATGATAAGAATATTTAATAAATATAAAGATCAGAGATATCAAAATACACTATAATCATTGTTAAGTTATAGTTATTTTATATACAAACAAACATGGGTACAGATTGGGTGAGTTCAGGACGTGAGGTGAGTCAGGGGAGAGTAGACAGTGTAATGCTTTGCTTCCACTACCACAGCCGCTCTCCTCCACCTTATACCGCACCACCACAGTCACCAATAGCAGCTGCCCACAACCACTATTAAACCAGTATCTCGCACATGGACATAAACAGGGTGCCTCCACGAACCTTGTACATATGCACAATAACTTCGAACTCGTCGAGATTAACACTCAACATTCATACTTCCTAAACTCACGTATGCTTTCCCTGCTTGGTCTTCCTCTTTAATTATCTAGCAACGAAGAACACCTAGGAAAAAATGTAGAAGAGGGCGTGCAAGATCATTCTCTCCCCCTCCTTCTCCACATATCAAGAAGCATTCGACACACTGACCCTCTGAGGTTCCTCTGATCATCACCATGACCTCATCTGTAGGTTTTGGGAAAAAAAGTTGCATCATCCTCGTCACACTACAACCGCATCCGGCCCCATACGACCACGTATAGCCCAATCCTAACCATTGTAGAAATTAATAACAATTCGTAGTTAACCAGTGTGTTCACTCTCTGCCAATCTTACTTTTATATTTGACTATGCTGAAATTCCCCGTTAGATTACCCCCGTTGTTATTATATATATCATATATATCAAATTTGTACGACTTATGTTACTTGTATTTGTCAATCAAGTGACCCATTCCCCAATTAGGCCTTTTATCATCTCTGTTGACTGTATCTTTTCAACCTTTTGGTTGCCATGTTCTTTCGAGAAATCATTAGTTATTATTATTATTATTATTATTATTATTATTATTATTATTATTATTACACACAATACCTCCACACTCCCAGTTATATTGGTTTCCCTCGTCTTCCCGACACCGCGTTACAAACTAGAATATTTAAGTCTCAAAATCCATAAAATACAACTGATATGTCTTTGTTTACATTGGGAAAATTTAACCTTCCCATAGAATATGTGGATTTTCTCATTTCATCCACCACGCACTGTTACCATAATGCAAAATTAATTGAAGAGAGGGAGAGAGTGAGAGGCTTTACTCAGAAATAAACTCATAAGTACAGTTATTTCCATGTGTTAACAGTGTCATAAGGGTGACGATAAACCCTGACACGAATAGAATATTTTATAAAAAATTTGGCCATGTGGGATCATGTTTCTTTGCACATAACTGAATAACAAAAAATAGTTATGTTTCTGTCTGTTCTAAACTTAGCTGAACTAAAGTGTGTTCTGTTGCTCTATAAAAAGAGAGCCAGCATGTCTGTGTGTAAAAGAGAGAGGGAAGAAATATAATGAAATAAAACGTATTTAAACATTATGTATGTACGATATGTATGTTCATTTAAAAGTTGGTTATGCTAAATGAGGGTGTTGCTAGTGTTGCGTTATACCTATTGGTATATGAGTGTTTTGCCTAATGTTAAAATGTTGTATGTATGTCTGTGTCAGGGGCGGATCGAGGAATATCAAGGAACGGGGGAGGGCGGGGCAATAAGTTGTGGGTTGGGGGGACATGGGGAGCAAAGCGATCTCAGCTGGGGGCCGCTGTAAGCCCCCCGCCGAAGTATTGAAATCTAACCAATATTATGGGCATTTTCAAGCCCTGTGCATGATATTAGGAGTATTCTGACGTCAATAGTAATTAACTTTTACTATGCAAAAAGCATGAGTACAGTACTGCATTAATGAAAAAGCATATAAATTTTCTGGATCGGGCTTGTGTACTGATACTGTGCGTATATATATATATATATATATATATATATATATATATATATATATATATATATATATATATATATATATATATATATATATATCCGTCTGTCTATATGGGCGTCTCTGTCTATTGTGTGATATGTAAATTTTGTATGTGTAAGTATGTGTTTGCTTGTAGTTGCGAGTGCATGCGTTCGAATAAAAGGAAAAAATCAAGAAAAAGGCCGAAAAAAATCTGAGACAGACCGACAGGCAGTGTGAGACATGCAGAGAGAAACAGAGCCTGAAAATTACGACAAATGGAAACAGAAAAGACATAAAAAAGAAAAAGTTGTATATATTCACAACCTCACTCGAAAACGCCCATACGTGTACATACACACACAACAAACAGTGCACACACAAAACATAAATATGCACAAGGACCATAGAGTGCATGAGGATCACCTGCGATGTGAGGACCATAGGGTTCATGAAGGTCATGGTGATATTTGTGGGCCATGAGGATCATGAGGGTGCGTAAGGATCTCAGGGAGTATGAGGTTCACAGGAGAGATAAAGACTGAAGGGTGCCGGAAGGTCACGTGGTGTACTGAGATTTCACGATGTATGAGGAACACAAGGTACATGAGGAACATAGGTCATGAAGAACGTTGTGTGTTGAAGGTACATGAGAACACAAGGTACATGAGGAACACAAGGTACATGAGGAACACAAGATACATGAAGAACACAAGGTACATGAGGAACACAAGACAATCTCAGGGTTCGTGAGGATGACAAAGTCAATGAGAATCACAGAGTACAGAAAAATAATAAGAGGAAGAATAATACAAGATACTTGGGGTTATAAGGTGCGTGAGGGCCACCAGGTATACGAAGATCAAACGTGTATGAAGGCCACTAGGTGTATGAGGATCACAAGGTGTGTGAGGGCCACAAAGTGTGTGAGGGCCACCAGGTGTAAGAAGATCAAAGGTGCGTGAAGGCCACCAGGTGGTTCAGGATCACAAGGTGCGTGAGGGCCACTATATGTTTGAGCATTACAAGGTGCGTGAGGGCCACTATATGTTTGAGCATTACAAGGTGCGTGAGGGCCACTATATGTTTGAGCATCACAAGGTGCGTGAGGGCCACTATATGTTTGAGCATTACAAGGTGCGTGAGGGCCACTATATGTTTGAGCATTACAAGGTGCGTGAGGGCCACTATATGTTTGAGCATCACAAGGTGCGTGAGGGCCACTATATGTTTGAGCATTACAAGGTGCGTGAGGGCCACCGGATGTTTGAACATCACAAGGTGCGTGAGGGCCTGGATGTTTGAGCATTACAAGGTGCGTGAGGGCCACTATATGTTTGAGCATTACAAGGTGCGTGAGGGCCACTATATGTTTGAGCATTACAGGTGCGTGAGGGCCACTATATGTTTGAGCATTACAAGGTGCGTGAGGGCCACTATATGTTTGAGCATTACAAGTTGAGTGAGGGCCACTATATGTTTGAGCATTACAAGGTGCGTGAGGGGCCACTATATGTTGAGCATCACAAGGTGCGTGAGGGCCACTATATGTTTGAGCATTACAAGGTGCGTGAGGGCCACTATATGTTTGAGCATTACAAGGTGCGTGAGGCCTATATGTTGAAGCATTACAAGGGCGTGAGGGCCACTATATGTTTGAGCATCACAAGGTGCGTGAGGGCCACTATATGTTTGAGCATACAAGGTGCGTGAGGCCACTATATGTTTGAGCATTACAAGGTGCGTGAGGGCCACTATATGTTTGAGCATCGCAAGGTGCGTGAGGCCACTATATGTTTGAGCATCACAAGGTGCGTGAGGGCCACTATATGTTTGAGCATCACAAGGTGCGTGAGGGCCACTATATGTTTGAGCATTACAAGGTGCGTGAGGGGCACTATGTGTTTGAGCATTACAAGGTGCGTGAGGGCCACTATATGTTTGAGCATCACAAAGGTGCGTGAGGGCCACTATATGTTTGAGCATTACAAGGGTGCGTGAGGGCCACCGGATGTTTGAGCATCACAAGGTGCGTGAGGCCACTATATGTTTGAGCATCACAAGGTGCGTGAGGGCCACTATATGTTTGAGCATTACAAGGTGCGTGAGGGGCACTATGTGTTTGAGCATTACAAGTGCGTGAGGGCCACTATGTTTGAGCATTACAAGGTGCGTGAGGGCACTATATGTTTGAGCATCACAAGGTGCGTGAGGGCCACTATGTTTGAGCACAAGGTGCGTGGGCACTATATGTTTGAGCATTACAAGGTGCGTGAGGGCCACCGGATGTTTGAGCATTACAAGGTGCGTGAGGGCCACTATATGTTTGAGCATTACAAGGTGCGTGAGGGCCACTATATGTTTGAGCATTACAAGGTGCGTGAGGGCCACTATATGTTTGAGCATTACAAGGTGCGTGAGGGGCACTATGTGTTTGAGCATTACAAGGTGCGTGAGGGCCACTATATGTTTGAGCATTACAAGGTGCGTGAGGGCCACTATATGTTTGAGCATTACAAGGTGCGTGAGGGCCACTATATGTTTGAGCATTACAAGGTGCGTGAGGGCCACTATATGCTTGAGCATTACAGGTGCGTGAGGGCCACTGATGTTTGAGCATCACAAAGGTGCGTGAGAGCCACTATATGTTTGAGCATTACAAGTTGCGTGAGGGGCCACTATATGTTTGAGCATCACAAGGTGCGTGAGGGCCACTATATGTTTGAGCATTACAAGGTGCGTGAGGGGCTATATGTTTGAGCATTACAAGGTGCGTGAGAGCCACATATGTTTGAGCATCACAAGGTGCGTGAGGGGCACTATGTGTTTGAGCATTACAAGGTGCGTGAGGGCCACTATATGTTTGAGCATTACAAGGTGCGTGAGGGCCACCGAATTTGCAATAAAAAATCTGAACACCTGGGTTTGACGTTCTTCGCAGCGATCACTGCTTGAGGCCATGTTCATTTGGTAGGGTTGGTACTTCTGATTGTGTGATGCATTGTGTGATACAGTACACCGAGCCAATTGGGTCAGAAGCTTGGGGAGCCTGGGACACCAAAACTCTAGAGTTCCACAACAAGTTGGTCTCCACACTTAAGGAAATCACCAAAGACTCCACAATATCCAGTCACCTAGCTCAATGCCTCAGTAGATTTTCTCATCCCGTATATGAGGATCTCGAGTCTTCAAACTATAATTCAAATTCTTACTACAACACACACACACACACACACACACACACAGAGTATAATGTATTTTAAAGAAGACTGGTATTACAAATCTCTTTTTAATTCAAACGTACCTGAAGAGAAGGACGACCATGTAAAGAATCGCGATACAGAACTATATATGAATGAAACAAAACTTATCAGCAAGCATCACTAACCAAACCTTACCTAAGCTAGCCTAGGGTATGCTTTGGTTATGATAGTAAACGACGTCCTGAATAAAACAAGTAAATTTAACTATACCGTATGTTAATTAAATTCCAGTAAGTTATAGCAAAAATTAAAAAACGTTTATCCCATTTCTCAACTCTTTTTTAAGGTCTAATCACAGAACTATAGCTATTTACCATGACACACACGCACATGTACACTCGCACGCTCGCACACACACACACACACACACACACACACACACACACACACACACACACACACACACACACACAGTTTTTGGATTTTTAGGTCAGAATGTATTTGACTTTGGAGATTCTGACCACTTTCAACTTTTGGGGAGAGGAATTTGGAGTAATCTTTTCACTTTTAGTTTTCTCCCGGCTAGTAACATGCGACTGATGTTAAAAGTCTGTCAAGATGGTACTGTGTCTGAAAAATATACATAAATAAAACAAAAATAAAATATTAAACACATATAACCTTCCCAGCAACTCAGAGCAGCAATTAGCATTCGAATATGTGAAGCATATGAACCGTAATTCATAAGTGTAGGTGCTCGCGATGTTCCCTTTCCCTGTGTGATTTTATCAAGATTTATCTTATCCACGTTTTCATTGTGGATCTACATGATATATATATATATATATATATATCACAGAAGTTGTTCCAGATAATTTTAGTACTTCGTCGTGGTGGTATAATATTTCTTTTGTGTTCTCCTATAGCACTATATTACGGATGCCTCAATCCTTCAGATGTCAGCTGAAACTGTTCACATTTCTCGCTCGTGTTGCAGTCTTTTTTAAAACGAGTTTTACAGGTCTTATATCTCTGACTACTAAATACTGTTTTTACTTGCCTTATTCTTGTGTTGAATAATCATTTTCATCTACCATTACAACTTATGTTACAATCTGACGACTCAATTCTTATCAGGTTTACTTCCCTGTTGTCTACTATAATTCTTACTGTCGGGTTTATTTTTCTATGTGGAAACAACCATTACGTCCATTTCTGTTAGCAGACATATATCCTTCGCCTTCGAATAATTTAACCAGTTTTCTTAATTTTCTTTTACTGTTTGCAATAAGGACAGCATCATCTGCATACCATATATCAAATCTTATTCCTTCATCTCTACTTACAAAGTCTCTCATTAAAAAGGGTGGTATAATTTATATCATCTTAGATACTGCAAGAAACTTTGCCCAATTTCGTGTCAAGCATTTGATCAATTTGTGACTACGGTACTTATGAACACTGCAGCTTCATGGTACTAGTAGATTTGATTAGAATTCTAATATCTACATCGTTCATTACATTTTTATGCATATAATACTTTATTTTACCTTTTCAAATTATGTGTTCATGATCAACAAAGCAAGGAACGATTCTTTTGAACCGCTGAAACCCTGCTTGCAACTGCCTATCAGATGTTGGTTTATTAAATTCTTATGTTATAATCAAACATTAAAGTTCATATTCTTTAAATCTTTATGGAACTTTATAAAAATCTTCATGGTAATGTGATATTTTTGTGTCTAGTTTACTGTTTCGTAAAAACATAACTAACAGAAAATTCAGTCTGACAGTGCACAATATCCTTTCACACACCTATCCTGCTTCTATTTAATGTAATACCTATACCACTCTTACTCCTTTCACCATCTGAACATATGAAGAGACTTTCTTCTCCATTAATGCTATTTGAACTCCACGAAAATCCCAGAATGTCCCACTCCAACATTGTCATCTCTTGGCAAACTAATGCATTCCTCCTACCTATGAATATGTCCCTACATTTTCAAATTTTAGTTTTGAGTAAATTCTTAAGCCTAATGGTTTGTTGTTTCTTGTCCATGTCTCTGTTTTACACAAGATTTATAAACTAGCAGTGATTGTCCCTCGTGAAACTATATACGTAGATTTGGGAAATACTTGATTAAATGTTTGTAAGAAAATATTTTACAGTGATGGAAGATTCATGTGAAATCATATCAAGTCAACAAAAGAGGGTGTGAAATGACACAGTTACCAAAGACTGACCCAATTTGTAATGCGGCCAATGAGTTGTTAAACCCAGAAATCATCATTTTTCAGCTGAAATACGATTGCTGCACTACTGAAAATCGCCCAATTGTAAAACTGAAGTTGTAGTAAATACTAATTTGCGATACATTAGTTAAGGGTTTTAGGTACCTGTAAAAGTTTGTTACCTTATGATCGTAAACAACACCATACTTCAAACAGAGCAAATTTCACTATATACAAATTGATTTTCCTTGAGTTATAACAATAAAAAGAAAGTTATTATATATATACTGTATATATTCTAGATCGTACGAAAAATATATTTGTATCTATTTCATAATTAATTTTTTATCACAAACAAAAACATAAAAACTATCTATGGCATCTAACATTAAATTTTCCTCCAATCAGCACTGAAGGTTTTTATCCGACTTTTATAGTGAATACCAATATGTAAACTGTAGTAGGAAAATCATGCAGTAATATTCAGGTGAAGAAAACTTATAGCATTTACTAATAGAATCGCAAAATTATATTCTTAACTATAATTCTCAAAATGATGACGAACTGTGAATTCATTACAAACGAAAGTAATAAATGGCATCGTGTATCTTTCATATTAAAGATTTATCAGAAATCATGTTCCGAGTTTATATTCTAATAAGGTTTTCCAAGATGCTACTAATTTTGTATGGTACTGTATAATTTTCAGTCATTGTGATTTTTTCAGTAAAGTCTGGCATATTTTTACTGTTTTTGAGCCTCTGTTCCAGGTTTTTCCTTTTGTATCCTAAGAAAATCCAAATAACGGGGTGACCTGAAAAGTGGTACCGATTTTTTCCCCCAAATTCTGCCATATTAACAGTTATC